AGATATTAGTTATGCCTCACTGAGGTGACACCTCTTAGCTGGCATAGTCATTCTTACGCCTATGAAAGTGAGGTAAAGAGAGGGTTTTGAATTCCCTTTTAGTACTCCCGATTTTGTCCTGTGATCAGCTGAATGCTTCTGGTTTCCATGTAGGTCTCTGTATTTTACTCGCATGAGAGATATTTTTCTTTTAGGTGTGACTGCTGTGCAACCACACATAGGCAGAATACACCAGGGAAGTGGTTTGGGTTTTCTACTCTTAAGAAATTGTGTTGTCAGGAAGTTATTTGCTGTACTGTGGAATGACAGTATTGTGAATGTTCCTCCAATGCTGGCTTGGAAGAAGATTTTGTTCAGGCTGTGTAATTAGAACCCATATTTAACTGCATGCATGTATGCAATATAATTTGTTTTAAGCTTGAGCTTAAAAAGTATTTTTGACTTTGCCTGGAGGCCTATACAAAGTTTAAGCTAATTGAGTGGATAAATAAGCCAGATAATGCTTCATATAATTTAGCATGTTATGTCAGTAGTACAACACTGATAAATAAGATTTTATTGTTTTCTGTCTTGATAGCAAAAAAATATTGTTTATTTGTGTTGCTTAGAGTGAAAGTAAGTTCTTGTTCTGGCAAACTGAGCTGACTGAGTTTCATAATGGAGTTATGAAAATAGGAAGGTGTTTAAAATGTGCATGTACTTGGTTTGGTTTCTTGGAAAGCCTTACAGCCTTGGCTAATACAACCACAGAATTACAGAATGGGTCAAGCTGGAAAGGACCACAGTGAGTCATCTGGTCCAACGTCCGTGCTCAGGCAGGCTCATCCTGTAACACATTGCACAGGGTTGTGTCCATATGGCTTTCAAATAACTCCGGTGAGGGAGACTCCACAGCTTCTCTGGACAACCTGTTCCAGTGCTTGGTAATCCACATGTCCTAGATACATCACATATGATGTTTTAGGTGTATCTGATTCCTCAAGTATTGCTCAAGTAGAGGACCTGTGCTTGAGCTGTCCCCGTTAACACCTATGTAACCCCTCATAACTAAAACAACATAATGAGGATCTCTACCTGTTACTACCTTGTATTCCAGATGATGAACATCCCCATTAATTTAAATAGCAAATTTCATCTTCCCTTTCAAAAACATGCTTCTGTATATGTTCAGGATTTTTTTTTATCTTATGTAGCTTAAATGAAGAATTAGTTTTAGGAAGGGAATTGCTTTAAAGATGGTACAGAATTGTGTGGTTTTGCAGTGTGGTTCCTTTTGAGCGCTGCAGTTCTTTGGATGTTTACTTGTTCAAGCTTTCATGTGAAATTTTGCAACAGTTCTTATTAAATACTGATTATTCACAGGAGTCAGTGTGGTGAATATTTTTATTTTTTAATTAGCTGCTCATATTTTCTTATATGAGTTACTATTTTCATCTATTTTAGCATTTTGGTATCTCCAGGGATGTTATAAAAATAAGGTTAATTAATTTTTAAACCTTCAGTTCTATTAATAAATATTTTAAAGGTATGAGCAGTTTCACTTGTTGTTGATTTTATTTTTTAGTGGGAAGATTTTCAAACTAACGTAGTCAATTTGAAAGTTCTTTTTCTAATGTATTAGAGTAGGTACTGTATAACACAGTGCATTATCAGCAGTCTAGTTACTTAGAATCTGTGACAATTTATGCTTATTTTATTAAAATATTTGTCCCACCACTTCAGTGCTTCAAGAAGTCAAATGGAAAGCATTTTACCTCTTTGATGTCAGTAAAAGAATTGGATTTTTTGGCTTCTTTTCTCTTGATTGTTGTTTTAGATGCCCCTGCTTTCCTTTTCATGGCTGAATCTCTTCCTTCAGTGCATCTTCAGTATAAGTTACCCAGAGCAGGATTAGTTATGTTTCTATTCAACTGCAAAGATGAGAAACTTTCTTTGTTTTTAAAAGGTACCTGATCATCTTGCTTCATCTGCAGGTAACTGGCATTGGGGCTTTAAGAAGAAGCTACAAATACTGTAAAATTCAGAGCTGGGATTTTAAACTTAAAATAAAGGTCTTAACAACATTGTCTCATCCATGCATAGTAGATTGGTGCTTATCATGCTAACCAGGACAGTCTCATATTCAGTTTAGAGCAAAATATCTGTTCTAAAATGACTATCCATTGCAGTTTTGGGATTTTACAAATTTTACATGAATTTACATATTTGCCTACATGTCTGTAGCACTCACTTCCTACGTACCATCTTATGGTTTTGGCACTAGCACAAGACTTAAGCAAGTCTAATTTTGCTGTCTTTGTTAGTACGGTAAAATGTTCAATATGTACATTGATATGTCCATTTGAAATCTAATGAAAGCCATTTTCTGTATTTGATCCTAAACAATGGATTTACTCATATGCCTAAAAAGTATCTGTCATTTCCTGATGGTTAAACTAGAAAGTTTTATTTTAGGCATGGTGGCAGAAGACTGTAGAATTTGGAATATTTAATCTGGTATTTATAGATACATTTACCAATACCTCTAGGGATATTGGTATCCCTAGAGATTTAGTATATATAGAGGTTAGTGTAGATAGAGCTTCTTGGCCTCATCCATCTACCTTTCCCTGAGAACACATGCTATTTGAAAGAGGAGTTTGAAATCTGATTGGCCATAAATACTAACTATATTCTTTGTGTGGGTTCCTGCTTTCAGAATCACGATAACTGTTGCCTTGTGCTCAGTGGGCCAGCTCACAGCAGTTATTGTAGAGGGTAATGAATGATGTTTATTTATGCTGTGTGCCTGACCACATCTGGGGGTGAGAACATGCTGGCAACTAATTGGCCTGGCAAATGATCAGGCTGCTACAAAGCAGTAGCTTGTGCTAGGCAGGAAAATTAAATCTCAAGGCCCTGTCATCCCTTGCTCTTATTGATGGTTCCTGGTGGAAATGACAGACATTAGCTGTGGATGTGATACTGAGATCTACTCTTACTGTATGGATTCTTTCAGTGAATGCCTCAGATCAATTTGCTGTTATTAATACCTTGTGAATTAATCTCATCCTCAGGGACTCATGTTAATTGCAAGCTTGTAGAGTTATGTTCATCTATGTTTGCTCTCTTTTTTTGTCTTAGGACACTTGAATGCTTCACTTTAGAACTGATCACGTTAGTGAATGCTGAGGACAAACAATCCAGCTGGGAAGTCTGTGCTTTGTGGCTTGGCATCAAGCAATTTCCTTAAAGTGGTGCTGATGCTGCCTTTAAAGATCTCAGAAGTTTGGGTTTCTTTGAGCTTGCAGGAACTAGAATCACCAAAAATGAGAGAATTGCAGTAACTCTTCAATGAGGGGATAGCCAAGAACACAGTTTAAATTTTTATATATTACTAATGTGTACTTACCTACCTTCCTCAGAGCCTGTGCCCTGCAGGTAATCCCTGTCCCCAGCAGACTGCTTTGTGCCTGTGCTAGTTGTCTTCACTCCAAGCTTAATAGCACTTGTGGGAACAGTTGAAAAGGTTCTTACTCCTTACAAACCCAGGATGCATTTAAGTAGGTCAAAGCAAAAAGAATAGGAAGAGAAATAGAAGGAGAAATAGGAGTTTGGATTGGTGACAAACTGATAACTCCAAAAGGTTGTGAGGATGCGACTGACAGCCCACCAAGACATCCTTCATGGCTACTTGATGTTAGCAAGAAGGAGGAATAGAGTTCATATGTTCTGCTAAATAATTTTGGTGGTAGGGAGGTTTGAGAACAGAAAACTTGAGTATTATTTAAATGGTTGTTAGTATGTAAAATGACCAGATGAAGAAGTCCAAGTAACACAGCAGCTTGTGGTATTAAATAGCCATGCGATGGAGAATGGCTTTTGGGCCCTTCTGGTTTTGAAAACCAGTTTGTGGCATCTGACACTGCAAAGAGCACCTGTTAAGCATTGAGGTTATGCCATTGATTCCAAAGCTAGGTATAAGTATGTTCCTGGCTCCCTGTACATAACATCTATGAGTAGAAAATAGATTCTGTTAAAAAAAAATCAATCCCATCATATGCTTTTCATCTTTCTTTGTATCTGTATGAGTTCTCTGAAATTTATCCTTTAAAATTTTCCTTTTTCTTAAAACAATTTTATTACTAATATTTGTTTATTTCTGGAAGAGCATGTGAATTTTTTTTATGTTACTTTTTCAAGGCGCGTAAAAATAGGCAAAATTAATTAATTGTATTAATACATATTAATTAATATTAATACGTATTAATACTTTTACTTTAATTAAATAAATGTAAATGTAAGTGAAATAAGCCTTTAGCTTTATTTTTGCCTACTCTGAGCGCTTTGTGATACTGCTTAAAAGACCAGATGCCTTGCAAGCTTTTTGAAAACAATGTGTAGAAAAAGGGATGCCTTGTTCTGTTATTCCAGAAACAGTGAAAAAGAAAAGAATAAATTGCTTATGCAATCAGGAATTTGATGGTATAAAAAGGGAGGAGAAAATATGGTAGCTTAAAAGCTTGATATGGGATTACACTTGTTTTAGCACTTGATGGTTAAGCGTCTTTTACTGCTCTATCTCTGAACTCCCATAACTGATAATTTAGCTGCTAATTCAATTGTGTGATGATTAATTGCCATGAACAATTCCTTGAAGAGCACTACAAATTACATTTTCATTTCTCTGCTAACTGCAGCAGTTAGCAGTTTAATTCCTCTGTTATTTGTGTATTGGTCACCCAGTGAAGTTTGTGATGAATATATAACAAATAGGTGTATATGTAAAATATAGACAACAGATATATTTGCTAGAAAATCTTTTAGAGCTCACTTTTACGTGCAGAAGACTGTACTGATCCTCTGATTTGCTCCTGAATTTTCACCTTAATTTTCCTCTTGTAATAAGTTAAAAAAAAATTGATGAACAGATTGAGATGATTTTTCTCTCTGAATGTACTTTCCTATTAATAACTGTAAATCTTGTTTTTTTCCCCCCTCCTCCCTCGCATTCCTAACAGCTAGCCGATGGCGGAACCTCTTCTCTACACCTGTCTCCTTGGCTTTTCCCTATAGTCCTGTTGCAAGACTCACCCCATATACCAATGGCTGTAATAGTCCCAGCTTCTCTAAAACTTCCAGTAAAGCAATACTAACACCTGAACGGACAGGTAATGCTTATCTTTTTATTGATTTATGGTGCTTACAAAAGTGCTTGATTGAATCTAATCCTGCTAGCATTTAACAGCAGTACTCTTTCTGGATGCTTGTATATGAACTCGCATTTCAGAAGGAGAGTTTTGTTTTGTTTTGTTTTTTTTAATGGCCTAAAATTTGGCTGTTAACTACAAGTCCTAAGCAGCATATTATGGGAAAGTGATGCTAGTAAATACCACTAATGATGTACCCAGTAGTACAGTTGTGACTGTGTCAGCTTAAACAGTCCTCAGCTTTGTTCCTCATTTCTGCACCACGGTGCCCCTTCCTTTTGTCCAGAGAAACATATGTACAGCTGTGTAATGAAATTGCAGTGAGAATTTATAATAAGAGCTGGCAGAATCATGTCTTTTTTCAAGGTGGTATTGTTGGTAATGTTCAAGATTTATTTTGTTTCCACTGATTTTCAGGGAACACCCAAGTTCTAGGGAAATTGAAAACTTTCTGTGGACTGTAAATTGCAAGGATTTGTGTTTTTCTTCTTCACTGCAGATACCAGGAGTTAGTTTGTATGTGTGACTTCTCTTAAACTGCTGTGGCAGTGGAGAAACTAATCTTTTGGGGGAGAGGCATTAACATTTTATTGCTGGCAGGAGCAGGCATGGGCTGAGGATGGGCTGATGATCAGTGTCATACCAGTCTGTGTGCAGTGTTCCTTACAATGAATGAAATCACTGCAGAAAGCCCTGTTTTAAGGGATATGGGCACTGTGGGTGAGAGCCAGCTCCAGACAGAGCACCTGCTGTAGCATGTGAGTGAAATGTCTTCCCTATTCAATGGGATGAAGCCTAGTTCCTAAATGAACTCGCACTATTTGAGATACCCTCAGGTATCTAGCTTCCCTCTGCTGCTGCAAAAGAGCACAGCTGTTAGTACCTCTGCAGAAACTCAGAGACTGCTGTAACTTGCACATTTAAAAAAGCAAACACATTTACTCCATACAATCCTTCCAAAGCAAAGTAATACCCTGCCTGTCCTTTTCTTTTGGAGATATTGGAAAATAGCTGAATTTAGGATGAATTTTATGTGGCTGCTTTCAGCAGTGCTAGAGGATGCAAACACACCTGTGATAGAAGTGCACAGCTGGTGAGCCCTAGTCACAGCAGTTATTTCCCTGTGTGTCTCTGGTGGTCCAGAGGATATTAGAAAATTATTTACTGTTTTGGTTGATGAGATTTTTCTTCAAAGTTGGACAAGAACTAGCTCATGCAACTAATTGCAAATTAGTTTATATTTTACTATTCTGTGCAGGGAAAAAGTAGAATCCAGAGCCTTTTGAAAAGGTAGCTCTGAAGGAAGCAACGCTTTCTCTGTTGTAAAATGTTCAACCTTAATTGTTGCTGTGATTGATTAATATGATAATTATAGAAAGTTTTAAAAAAGAATAGTAAAATTTAGCTAAGTGGTTTGGATGCAGCATTTGAGTACTGAGCAGAAGACAGTGACACATATCCATTTGTTTTTCAAAACAGAGTAGGGAGAACCACAGTCCCATAAGAGAGATGCAAATGCAGATGTTGGTTAGACTACACCAATCTGAGCTGTGTCAAAAAATATTGGGTAAATTATTCATTGTCTGGGCTATGCAATGCTGTTTTGGGAACAAGTTGAGGAACTCATGATCCATTCCTACACTTAATGCTTCTCATGAATATCATCAGACATATTTGTAGCCTAAAGTGTATGTTTTCTTACATAGGGTACATTTCTAGGAGTTCCCCTTTGAGTCCACAGTCATCAATAGACAGTGAACTGAGCACTTCGGAGCTGGAAGATGATTCCATCTCCATGGGATACAAGCTGCAGGACCTCACTGATGTTCAGATCATGGCTCGTCTACAGGAGGAGAGTAGGTGGCACTTTTTTGGTTTTCATAACAGTCTGAGGAAGATTTCTGCTAACAGTTAAAACTGCTCCAGTCTGATCCAAGTCAAGTAGATATTTTTTTTTTAATGGTGTTGCTTCTTGAGTGGCAGGTGGAAATATTCTTCACCTGCATGGAGATGGTGTGCACATTTTTGCGTCCAGGTTAATCTGAACTGGTACTTGATCTTTAAAAATTCGATGTTTATGTTTTTCTGAATATTAATTTAAATAATTTTATTTCTGGAGAGGAAAGATGCTGAAGCATTTTTCTCATGCATGCATTTCATGAGAAAGGAGAAAATAAGCAGCTCTCAGCTTTCTTTGCCTCCAGTTTTCTCAAATATTCAGATGAGTTTTGAAATTAAATCCCCCTTAAATACTGAATTGGGGCCTTTAAATTTAATATCTTGATTTAAAACTAGTAATTATGCACAAATCTGAGCCTCGAGTCTTCTTTGACATAGATTATAGTTTGGTGTAACAGTAATTTTTGTAAAATGAAGTAAAGGGCATTTGACTTAGAGGTCACTGAGACAGTAAGTGGAGTATTTCTCCTGCATCCTGTTAGTGTCAAGTGAGATATCAAGGAGGAAGTGATGAGATTAAAAGCAAGAGAAATTCTCAGATGGCCCTGAAAAATGCCAAGTAATAAATGATTATATAAAACAAAAATAATAAAATGGGAAGAAGATATTAGAGCTGTGATCTGGGTGAAGCCACCAGACTGAGCAGGCAGAGTGATCACCTGTCAACAGGAGAACTTGCTGAGTGTCTGGTAGCACACATCATGTTCAGCAGAAAAATTAACAAGCTTTCTAATTTTAAAAAGAAAAAAAGTTATGACTGTCAAAGTTACAAAGGATTGCATTACTTAAATGACAGCTGTGCTCATCTCCTTCAGAGCGAGGTTTAAAAAATACTTCAGGTACTTAGCTCTTCAAGGAATCAGGGCATTGACAGATTGGAAGGAAAAATGCTGATTTTTCTTCAAATCTGTGTCAGGTGCAGTTGACTGTATCTCATCCTTGTAGTAGCAGCTGGTGGAGAACGTTTGAGCACGTGACGGTTGTTGACCACTTAATCCCGTGGAAAGTGGCAGTTCTATACGTGCACGCAGGCACACTCTCTTCGCAGCCACAAATAGAAACTCCCACTCGAGAAGGGGGAGAGGAAGCATATTAAGAAGTTCCCATTATGAAGCAAAGACATCTGTTAAAAATTAGGGCTTCTTGTAAGTCTAGGGTGGTTGTTATCTGCAGCTACTGTCAGACTTACTTGGCTCATGGAAGTGCAGTATTTTTTTCTTTAGTTGCTGTGTGTCTGGAGAAAGGAGGGGTGTGCAAGGGGGATGTGAACGTTTCCCTCTCACTTGACCTGGAGCAAACAGGCTCTTACAGGGAAGTTCTTAAAGTGAGATGGTTTTCAAAACCTGAAATTCTGAGACGAGGAAGGTAGGATTGTGTGCCTGTGTAAAACACAGTTGTGTTGCCACTAAGCCTTGTCCATGAGACTGGATGCTATCAGGAGCTAATGTTTCAGGGAGGTTGGAGAGGCAGAAGATTTAGATGGGTTGTAAGTTTAAGAAATGTCATTGCAAACATTTTTGTTGCATGAATACAGAAGTTCAGTAGCAATAGCTTGGAAAACTAATGTGAGTGTAATTCCTCTAATTAAGAGTATTGAGAAGTTAAAAACTTAGTACTCGTAATAGTCTTTATTGGCAGAGAAATAGGTGCCTCCTGAGAGTAGCTCCTCTTAAGAAAGGCATCTAAGACATCTTCTGGAGATTCCTATATTCTTTTTTAATATTTTATTAAAAAAGATTTTGAAGGAAATAATTCAGGCTTAGATGCCTGAAAGGTAGATCAGATGCCTGAAAGATAGATCAGATGAGTCCTATGTCAGACCTTCAGCCTGATTACATTTTAAATTCAATTCTTGCTTTAAAATTCTGTCTACTTACCTGTGTAGTTTTCAAGATTGAAGTGCATATTAAGAGTTAATCATTTAGCAGAAGCTGAATCGTCCTCCTCTTGGAATTTACAGGCCTTAGGCAAGATTACGCTTCAACTTCAGCATCTGTGTCAAGGCACACTTCCAATGTTTCTCTGCATGCGGGAAAAAAAGGGACATGCAGTGACCAGGAATATGATCGCTATAGTCTTGAGGATGAGGAAGAGTTTGACCACCTTCCACCTCCGCAGCCGCGTCTGACTCGCTGCTCCCCCTTCCAAAGAGGGATTCCTCACTCACAGACTTTCTCCAGTATCCGGGACTGCAGGAGGAGCCCTACTTCCCCGCAATTCCCTACAAATACTTATCAGCAGCCCTTCTACTCTCCTCAAGCCCAAACTCCAGAGCAGCAACCAAATAGGATTAATGGAGGTGGGTTGCATGCTTTTCTGAGAAGTGGTCTTTTCTCTGCCAAGTGCTGGTGCCATTTTAAAGATGAATTGCACATAAATTGTGACAAATAATTTAAGTCTGTGTAAATGATTTAGGGATGTTATTATGAAGCAGTTTTCTGCAAAATGTAATCTATGATCTGGTCATGAAAGTTGTTGCTTTAGCCTATTTTAAAATGCTGCAAAGATGACCACAAGTGAAGAAAGAAACAAAAAGTAAAGAAGAGCAGGCTTTAAAGATTTAGCAGGCTAATAGTTGATTAGAAGAATTCTGGGGCTTTCAAGTATGATGTTCATTGTGGATGCAGTAAAATACAGATCTGGGTTTTCAGATTTTAATTTTCTTTCTTATTCCCGAGTTTGCTGTTAATGCAGCTGTGCTGTGAGGAGTGCTTATGGCACCTTGCTTCTGTTCCAGATCTGATAGGGCTGATCATTAACATAGCTGGAGATAATGTCACTCCCAAGCTGTCCTGAGATACTGCTACTTTTTTTGCACCACATTTGAGATATATTCCAGAATCTGGAAGACTTGTCTCTCAGTGCTTACTCATGATTTAAGTTGCCCTCCATTGTTGCTGTTAAATTATTTTCTTTCCATATCATAATAACAATTTTCTTCTTTCTGCTGTATTTCACTTTCCTATACCTTCAGTCTTTCTCCTAAGTTAATTCTAAATAGTCCATTTCCAGTCAGAGTCTTGTTTGTAACATTACAGTTTACAGCTCACCCTTGGGCAAGAAAGGAAATCTGTTGTTCAAAACAACACAGTTGCTATTTATGGTGCTTCAGGTATGCATATTGCTTTTCTGACAAACAAGACATGACAGGTTGGTGCCCAAACCACTTAGTGGAAGTTACATTCTGCTTACATAGAAGTAAGCCATGACATGGAAGTATAATTGAGAAGTGGCAATATAGAAGGAGAGGTGATGTTAACAGAGGGTAGAGCAGCGTGGGTGTCTGTTGGTAGAGCATTTGTGCCATATTAATTTTAATGTTACCTCTCTTGTCAGGGAGGTGCAAGAGTATGACAGCATTGCTGGGCTTGCAGAAATGTTAGGAGTTAGAAAGGAAGGCTTTGGGGCATTTTTGTTTAGGAATAAGAGAATGATATGTTTCTGCTGTGTTTTAATGTGGCTCCCACATGTGTTTTGAATGATTTTTTTTCGTGTTCCATATCAGTGGAACTTAAGCATTGGATTTCCTGCATGTAAACCTTTAAGGCACTAAAAACATTAGGCTCCTAGTTTGTTAAGTACAGAGTGAATATGTGTAAAAGATCACCAGTTTTATCACCTGATGGACTTTTTTCTCAAGAACTTAGAGGTGTTGGATAATGTATTTGGCATAACCCAGAAGTTGGGCGTGTGACTTCAGTTACCAGTTTACAGGAATGACAAACAGTGCTAAAACAGTCAGTACCACTGTCTTTAGAAGGGAATTACCTCCTCAGCTTCTACACCTTCAGCCTCTAATGCATGCAGCTCTGATCCACGTAAGGGCAAATGTTGATGGTGATGAGATTTAGATTCCAAAAGAACATTTTACTTTGACTGTGTTCTTTTGGCAGACAAAGACATAGAGAGTCAAGTGTTCACTGTGCTGAATATGTCTGTGTAGTATTACAGCATCTTCTCATCAGCACTTACCCTCTTGCCAACAATTTCATTGTCTCTCCAGAGTGCCTACACCTTGAAATGGAGGTAGACTGCAAAACAAGAATTTTATGAAGCTCTCTGTGATGGATGATATGTTCCGCATTCTTAGTTTACCAGGGTAATTGAGAAGGAAGGGTGTGGAAGATGGAAGAACTGAACTTTTAGTTTCTGCCTCCAGTATATGTGAAAAACATGATTCCTAATTAATAATTAAGTCACACATGCCACATGCTGTGCTGCTCTTGGCCATTCCTACAGTCTTCTGAAATCTTTATTCCTTTGTCTTCCCCCGAAGAGATCACTTACATTCTTGTATGTGCAATCAAGGGTCTGGCCTCTGCTTCATCTGGGCATTCACAGAGCTTTACATAAAAGAATAAGAGGAAAATTACTGTTGAATTTTGATTCTCAATCTGGGGTAAAACCTCAGTGTTTAGCTTTGACCCAATATTTTCCCTAAACTAGTCTATATATTTAGCTTAATTACAATGTTTTGCCTTCAGGCAAATACTTTCAGGGATGCTGCCCTACTTGCTTTTGATGATGTTTGTCTGGCATGGTCCTCTAGTTGAGGTACTTAATACCTGCATGTGAAAAATACGGTGAAGATGTGATAAACCTATAATATAGTATAATACTGGTTGCATGATGAGAAGCACATGCATTTAAACACTGAGATGTGGTTGCCCACCTGTGTATGAAGGGCCTAATTCAGCTGCCTGGGTAGAGCTACATGAGAACAGCCCAAGATCTGTGGGATGCCATGAGGTACTTTCACATAGGCACTGACTTGTGCACCAGGTGTGTGATAGCTTACTATTGCCAAAGGTCTGTTTGTCTTCATCCCCAGGGTTGCATTTTAATGATGACAATAGATAAAACCAGATAAATAGTTTGCAGTTTCTGGTGATCTGCCTTTTCTGGGGGTGAGAATAGTCTCTTACCAGCTGTTTTCCAGCTGTGTTTGAAGCTGTATTTTTGAGCTCATGCATTGTTCTTGTCAATGAATTGTAGAAAGCACTTCCCCTGCTGTAATATTGACACTCTTCCCTGTTTTAAATTGCTGTACATTTTAAAATTACATACTTCTGGACCACACCACACCATGTAACTCCCACTCTTAGGTCCAGGTTCTTTATCTCACCTTATCCCTGTGAATAGGGTCAGTCACATTTACTGCCAGTCCCCAAAAGCTTGATATATTGGAAGGCTCCTGGTAAACACCAGCATGAAGTGGCAGGTGTGTGCCAATCTTAATATGTTTAGATGTGAAATATGTTGCAAGATGTTTAAAGTGTATGCAGGGCCACTTACAGCATGAGTTGTGGGTGTACTTGTTAACCTTTTAAACAGAACTTTCACAGCCACTATCTGTAGAGTCTGTATGTTATCTTTGCTTTTCTAATAGGTTTTATTGCCAGTTCTGGCAAGAATATAGTAATAGATAAGTTTTGTGTGAAATCTGTTTGGTTTTGTTTTCCTTGTTTAAATACACCCTCTTCCTAAATCAGCTGAATTTTCTGTAATGATGAATTACATCAGAAAAAATCCATTTGTAAACCTCTTAAGTTATTCTGATTTTCATGGATTTTGTAATTGGTTGGTGGGTCAGAAATAGATAATTTAAAGAAAATATGAGAGACACAGGATATGAATAGCTTTTAAGTATCTATTATAATTAGCTGAAGTGAGTTTGTCTAGTTAGTGTGTGTTTTATACTTTAATAAAGCTTTTAATATGTTTGCAGTGGAAAGATTTATGCTTATGTCTCTCTCCTTAGTTTAATTTGAAGAAGTTACGGATTAGCAACTTAAAATGTTGCTAACTATTAATATAAATAATACTTTATATATAATCATTTTCATATAAGAAATACCATGGAAGGTCTGGTTTCTGCTTTATGTTGTCCATAAATACACATTATTTTTGTTACTTTGATGCAAAAGTAACTACTTTCACTTCAACTTTTAAAAAAATACATTTTATTTCTGTTTAGTAATTTTATTAATTTATAATAGCTGTTATAATTTTTTGTCCTTTATACTTCTGCTTTTCTGAAACCAGAAGTAATGGTTAACTATAGTGCTGTAAAATCATCCAGAGTAATCAAAATCTAGGATAGAAAAGATACTGGACATGGGATTGATCTTGTGTTCAGGCCCACTTTCCATCTCTGAGATCAGCTTGCTCACAACCTTTTATCCTGGCACGTTTTATTCTATGTGCATTTTAAAGTGTTCAATTTTATAATACGTGAAAATTGGAGACTTTGTACTTTGGGCAAATTATTCCAGGTAAAGAAGGAGTTTATTATAATACAGTAAGAAGGGGTGTATAAAAAAATACATGGTTTATGGAGTAGCAATGCATTCAGTCTGGTTAATCTTAATGTATTATTTTCTATTACTTTTTTACAATGCTTTTTAAGTTTTTAGCTTGGCATATACTTTCATAAACAGGCCACAGATACCATGTATCTGAAAAACTTCGTTTTTCTTTTCTGGAAATTGCTAGTTATGAGTAGCTTTCTGGCCTACACTTCAAAAATATTTTGGACATCATTGGCAGTTGCCTAATTTTGAAAGCTGCAGTTGAGGTTTCTGTTTGTTGTTTGGGTTTTTAAGCAAAATCCAGGCAGAAATAGAAGAGCAGCAGTACAGTGAGTTTAGATATGAGTTCAGCATAGACTTACGAAATATTGTCTGCTTATAAACTTTCTTGCTCAGTAAGAAAGGAAAAATTCTCTCGAGGAAATTGTTGCAGACTTTATTACAGAAAAGGAGTAAAATAATCTTACTTTGCTATCTTTGGATTATATTGCGGACAGTGATCAGTGGGAGAATTTATGGAAGGCTAATGGAAAAATCTTTAATTGGCTCTAACTATCTGTGGTGAGAGACATATGTATGTGGAGCCAGGATGAGATGAAATAATAATTCTGAATAAAATGTGGGTATTAACATTATTGAGAATGGCATCACCCACTTAACTGAAGGGTTTGCTTTAATCTGTGTTGGTGTTTTTACACACTGATGTCTCTGTTGTATCAGCTTGTGATTCCACAGACTATTAAAAAGACCCTGGTGTATTTGGAATGTCATAAATGTTATAACTGTGAGAGATATCACACAGATACTCATCTCAAGTCTTCAGAGATGAGGAAGAGAAATTAATCCCATAAAGAGACTCCAAATAGAGTCTACAAGAGAAGTTGTAACAGAATCTACAAGTTTGTTAAGGATTTCAGAACACGCTCTGAATGTCTACATAATGTAGAACATCATATTTAAAATCGAGAAGCATGGGTTTTTTCCTTATGGTTTTACCCTGACCTATTTGTGCATACAATATAGATAAGGCAGAATTAAATTTGCAGGATTTGTGCGAAGGATTTAAATACGTGTGAGAAATATCTATCATAGCCCAAACAACGATACAGATTCTCTGAGACACTAATAATTCTGATTCATTGTATCACACTTCTGTGTTTTTGGTGAGGTTTGTGAGTCCTTTCATTCAAATAAAACACTGACAACCCTTGCCGACAATAACTGTGAAGGAATAAACGCGTTTCAAGAGACTTCACTGTAGAGTCAATTTAAGCCCTCCGTGCCAGGTGAACCTCATGGGAAGAGGCATTTTGGCAGATAGAAGATGATACTGACCAAGGACTGCTACAGAAGTCCCCATCTGGCAGCCCACCAAGAGTGCACCTCCTCTGGGGCAGCTTTGCTCCGAGGACAAGGTCTGTTTGCGTGCAACATGGAATTAAATCTTCGGCCAGTGATAGTATTAGGTCAGGGAAGGGAAAAAAAAAAGAAGCAGTGGAACAAGGATGGCCACCAGCAGTGTGGGGATCAGAAGACAGAAAGCAGGTGCTGCCTGTTCTGGTGTCCTGCCAGAAGGAAGCTGGGCCACTGATCCCAAGCTGACTTCAGAGAAGAAATAGCATCAGGAGAAGAACTTCCTGGCAAAAAATCACAACTGAAGCAGCTGGGTGAGAGGCGAACTGTTGTCTTCACTGTAATTTTGTGGAATGTTTGACAAAGAAGGGAGACTTCTTGCCTTTTGACTTGTTTCTAGCAGTAGTGAATATGATTTGTGCTGTGGGGTGGCCTTTTCATTTTCAGCTGAGGGCATAGGATCCTGTATTTCACAATTCCCAGCTTTTCTTGTGCTGTAAAAGCAATGGGCTAATGCAGCATGGATGCCACATACATGGAAAAGCGTAAACATGCAGTAGGCAATTCTGCTGCAGATATGTGGAAGGGCAATGTGTGCTGCCTAAAGAAAGCTCATGAAATGACAAGCACATGTGTATATGCATGAATTATTCTTAGAAGGTGGTAAGAACCAGTAACTAATTATTAACTCCCCTTCCATGACCTATCCTTGAATTTTCTTCACAAATACAATACAAATACCTCAACAATATGATGTGTGTAGGTCATGATGTTTTATCTCAAAGAAGGCTGGGAAAGGCGAAGATACACCTGTGATGGTTTATATGGCTGCGTTCTACTTAAACACCTTATTTTTTCCAGCATACTGTGGTTCACAATAACAACTGTGGATGCTGTTGGAGATACCAGTTCCAGTCATTGACTGATGACCACCTTTCCAACTAGACCGTGACACCAAGTGCCACATCCAGTCATTTCTTGAGCAGGTGTAGGTCCTTTGAAGTCCCCTATTGGTATTACTATCCACGTCTTCCAACAAAACAAACTCCAGGCAACTGATGATTTTTTTAGGTTTGCCTCTGAACCAGATTAGTGCAGAAAAGGTAGCAGAAACTGTAGCAAATTCCAGTGTTCATCACAAACAGGACTATTTGAGCAAATTCATTCTCAACTGAGAGTATATCGCTACTCCTTCTCCTCTCTGTTGATTTTCTCATGAGTCTTTAGGAGAGCAAAGAGGTCTGGAAAGGAAAGCATCTTGGAAAAATATTTTTGTTTTCTTCTCATATATTTCCAGCAAGTTCATATCTAGTCAAATATCAGTGGCCTGAAATAATATTAAAATCACCTAATTCTCAGCTTTTGCTTCCATGCATTAAGCTCATAAGAGCCATCATTTCATTTACAAACAAAGCGTCTGTAAGACTATTTCCACTGTTCTTAGGAGTGAAGCAGGTGACAGAACAAACTTCAAGAAGGAGATGAAAGAGAATGCATCATCCAAGGAGATGAAAGCTTCAGAATGCCATCAAGGCGAACATTTCTGGGTTTTCCCCAAACACAAAACTGACCTGCTATTTTCATTGCTTTTCAGGGCCATTTATCTCAGCAGACACAAGGACCCATCAAAGAAGTAACACAGCTGCTTGACGGATGAGACTTTGCAGGTGCAGCAGGAATCTGCTGCCTGAGGACTGAATGAATCAGCAGCAGAGCAAACTGCTGGAAAAAGAAGGGACTAATGAACAGGAGGCAAAAGATGGGGCCACCCAAGACATGGAGGAAATCCAAGCTACTTCTGTACCTATTTTTCCGCTATTGTAGCTGCACCCACTGGACAGTTCAAGGCACAGATAATTCACAGATAATTGGGGTGGCTGATGGAGTCCCTGAGTGGAAGAGCATGTAGAGTCCTAAGAATTCTGCCATACAACATGATGCTTAAAAGGCTGTTTTATGCAGTGATGCTTTCCTTACTGGCATCCTGATGCTCAAACCTTTTTTAGCCAAGTTCTGTAACGTTGAATTAGGATTTCAGGCCCTGGTACTTCGAAAGGGTAGGCTAGGACTCCTGAATTTACTGTAGCTACAGCATCCTGTATTTGTTTTTTTTGCCACTCTTGCCCAAGGATTGCATCATAAGGTGACAGTTCCCTCTTCAGTTTCTAAAATATTCAAGAATTTTGCAAATATATACATACAATAGCTGTATGGGTGCTATTGTTTGCATCCGCAGGACAGTTTTGGAAGCCTGGTAACTGTTTTATCATTGTTACATCATTGATATTAATACTTACTACCTGCCTTCACCACAGTGGTAGTCCCCTTGCTAATGTTCATTGCTGTACCATTGACAGTTTCTGTCTGCCACTGTCAGTAATTAATCACTGAAGCACAATTCTGACTTGTTTGGTGAAAGGTTGTCCATACAGTAGTTCTTTGTTAGGATTTGGCTGTACCCTAGTTTCCAGAGATTCAAAGCATACATTTCCTTTTCCTGCTGGAGATACAACCTTTCTGTGACCCAGGTTGCTGGAGTTACGTAGGCGTCACATATTGAAGTTACCGTCAGTGACTCCTCATAACTTGTATAGATAGAACTGTACTGTCACGTCGTATTACTTTTCACCTGTTAGCAGCTTTAAGGATTAGAGGAGCTAATGGTGGTGCTAAATAGCTTGTATATTTATGTGGACTCATCAACAGAGATTTCTAAATAAATCTGCTGTTTCTGTAAACTGAACTTGCCCTGTATGAGCCAGGAGATCGACCCATGCCATCATTCCAAGCAGTGCGCTGTGTTCTATGCATAAAACCAAAACTTCAGTTTGGAAATGCCCTGCTCTCTGTGGGAGAGAGCAGCAGTAGCTGCTGTTACAAGACAAGCACACCCCTGCTTTCTGTTGCAGTATAAGAACCTGCCAGCCGTTGGAACCTATGTCAGGAGCAGGAGCCTGGTGACCTCTGTGCTGGCCATGCTGTCAAGGGGGATGTAGCCACCTCAGCAGGGCACAGGACTTGTGCTTCTGAACCTGGCCAAGAGGCAAACCTTGCTGATGTTGTCAATGACAATTTAATAAATGCCCATTGTTTTCCCATAGCGGTGCTTTGCTGAAGTCTGTCATGTCACAGGACCAGGTCCTTCAGTCTGTGCCTTTTTCCCAGTCCCTTCTGATAGAACATCTCCCTTCGGCCTGACGGCAGAAGAGACTGGAAGACTTTTCCCTTAGATTACCTCCTGATGTTATGGTTAGGAAGCCGCCTTGAGGTGTCAGGGAGGGTTCAACTTCTCTCTTCAAATGAACTGGTGTGAGTGGGATTGCAGACATCTTCTCACCTCTTAGACACTTAGCTGTTACACCTGCTTCAAAAGTACTTGGGACATTTGCAGCTTTCTTCTTGTGAAAAGCTCTGCAAAAAAGCCTACTCTGAAAATGCCTACCAAATCAGGTACCCAAGTGAGGTAGGAGGGAGAAACACCAGATTTGAAATTTTTTGTATCAACACAGGGCTCCAACCAACTGAACAACATCAGGACTTGGCAGTTTTTGCATGTGGCTTCCTGCAGAAACTTAACATGCTAACAAGGTTAGGTTCTGAATGGACTTACTTACCATCTTACTGGCACCTGAAAGCAAGACTTCAGTCACTTGGGATGGATTTCTCACCTGTCTTTAGACATCCACAGAGTATATAGCTGTGTCTCACTGCCAGTGCAGTTCTGCTTTTGTATTCACTGCAAAGAAACAGGCGCATTTAGGGCATGTTTCACCTGACCTACTTTACACGTCTATGTGAAACTCATCATTATTTATTGTTTAAATCCTTGCAGTTCTGCAAATGTACTGCCTACTGGTATCTTCAAAATAACTTGTGAATAATCATACTGTTACAGTAGTCATAATGATTCAATTTGAAAGCTGTCAGTAACATATTCATATTCTTCTGGTAGAGCAAAACCTCTCTTTTTGTTTATTGTTTGAAATGGTTTGTTACAATTCTGATTTTCTATGGAAATGATGCCGAGGCTGCTTGTGTTTGTTGGAAATTCTGACCTGACTAATGGATGTTGTCTTCTTTTGCTCCAGACAAACTCCGCAGAAGCATGCCTAACCTCGCTCGAATGCCAAGCACCCCCACCATTAGCAGTACTGCTGGCTTTGCTGGTTCTCCTGTCACTGTGAGGAATAGTCAGAGCTTTGACTCCAATTTGCATGGAGCTAGTAATGGGATTTCAAGGATGCAGTCGTGTAGTAAGTACCTGTGTTCTTTAGCTGAGCGCAAGGGATCAATAAAGGGGTAGAATTCATGTCCTCGTCACTGATCTTTTGTCTAAGAAAAATTAAAAGCAAACTGTTCTTTTGCATTAGATTGTAATATACCTCAGGATTTTCAAAATTTCTGTTTTGGAGAGCAAGTTCTGCCAGTGTTGTTATTGAAAGTTTCTTCCCTTTTTTTTTTCCTTTGCCCATTTATCTTGTGCCAGCATTAAAACTGAAAGGATAGTAACAATAAATAGTAATATTTTAGAAACACCAAAAATGCAATTAATTCATATGAGATCACATTTTTAGTTTTGATACTACAACTGAAAACTGTTTTTCTGGGTAATTTATGCAATGCTGGTTGTATAGTGCACTGTATAAACACTGTCTTAAAATCCATGACCTCTTTCCTACTGAAGTTGAGCCACTTTCTTCTGAGGAAATGCAGTAAACAGAGGGTTCTATTCTTGAGTATAATATAATTGTTGAGTGGGGGAATTAAAATAATTGGTATAATTTAGGTGACTTCTTGATGGGGGGATGAAGGGAGTATTGATGTAGTAGATGAATTATTAATGTAGAATCTGAGCAAGATAGGTCAACATCCAAACCCATCTTTTTTATCACGGTGGTTGAGGTTCTTGAGTGGAAATGGGAAAAGTGGATTTCACTGGACACAGGTAGAAACAAAGAGGAACAAACAAATTATTTGAGAAGAAGGGATTTAACTTGCACTCTCCATTTCTTGTGAGATTTTGGAGGGAGAAGTCAGCAAAAACTTTTCCTGTTTTCTTTCAACTTTGAGCAGAAATTACAGTGTCTTCAAAACAAATTGCTGCTTTTCTAGAAAATATTCTTGACTGATGGGTA